GCGTGTGCGTTTAAGCAAGATCAGGGGTTCGAATCCTGCCTTGTGTATGTAGTCGCGTTAAATTTTGGGGCTAACATAGCGAGGAGATTAGTCACTCCTATTATATATATATATATATATATATGACTTTTTAAGTAATGTATATATGCACTACTTTTTTAAGTAGTCTATAGTAATATAAATTTATAAATATTTTCTAGTAACTGGACAGTACTGCTATTTTTATATTTCACATGGAGCATCTATATTCCAAAATCTTAAAGTGGTTCTTGCTTATTAAAAACAGTTGTCGATAAGAATCATGCGATAGAGTATTTTGTAATAGTTCTTAAATAAGTATGGTTACTTATTTAACCACATATGCTTATGTTATTTAAAAAATAATAATAAAAATGCATGTATAATATAAAGTAATATATCTGTTACATTTTAACCTTGTATAATATATATGAACTTTATTTTAAGTCGTTATTTTAATGTTAAAGAATTAAATATTTATTATTTTATTATAGTTTTACATACCAACATGTATATAAATATGTTTCGGATCAATTTTTTTACGCATCTAAATCTCTCAATTCTCTCATTTTTAATTAGTTAGCCATGATAATTATTAAAAATAATTATTTGGTTTTAATTTTTTAAAATAAAATTAAATAGATAAATACAATTGTCATGGTCAAATAGACTTGATTTCTGGGCCAAATAAAAAACAAGCCATTATTTCGGGCGTAAATTCTTAGAATTGGGCCTAAATTCTTAGAATTCAACCTAAATTACATGTTCAAACAGGTCCATATTCAAATTCAAATTATTACCCTATTATTTTTTAAAAGAAAAAGAGTAATCAATCATCTTAAATTTTACTTTTTATAAATGAATATCATAAACTTTATTTTATCCTAATCAATCCTTAATCTTTATCTGATTTTTAAATAAACATTATCAACTTTAATTTTATTTCAATTAATCATTAAATTTTACTTCTTTTACAAATAAACACTCTCAATTTTAATTTCATTCTAATTGATTTTAATATTTGATAATTTATTATTTTTAAAGAGTTTTCAGATTTATTAAATTGAAATAACTAGTAACTACTAATTAAGATATGGATCAATAGATGTTTATTAAATTGTTTTTGTGTCTTGTATTGTAGGATATATTGGAACAACAGTCCATAGAGGGATCTTTTGTTTCCCATGGGCGCCAAGATATACTCACAGTTGCAATTGGAAAGCCTGAGCACCCAGGTCGGGTTCGGGCTGCTGGTGGAGGTCATAGTTTTCAAACCTACTTTGGATCATGCTCATCTTCACAGACATCTGGCACGGTGGACCAGTTAGTGGAACTAAAGGTCTCTCAAGTTATAGCAACTTATGAGCACAAATTTAGTCAGATGCAAGAAGAGATTCATAAGCGGCTGCAAGAGGACATGCAAAGGCAACTACAAGAGCATATGCAATCGATAATGTAAAAAATATAACTTATTTTCTATATATATAATATTTCTTCTATTTTTTATTTTATATATTATAACTTTGCTGGTGAATTTATGAAGGCTTTGAAGAAACAGTTGATGGATGCTGTGGCACAGGGCTATTGGAGATGGGTCCTGTGTGCAATATAATGGAACTAACATGCCCTGATTCGTCAAAGTATCTGTTCTGGGATGCTGTGCACCTTACTGAAGCAGGAAACTACTTTCTTGCCCAGAGTGGTCGAAAAAATGTGCTTCCATACCTTACTAATTAGGCCACTACAATTTTAGATTTTATATAAGCATTTTTTTTCTTGGGATAAATGTTTTATCTTGTTCTTGTTCGTGACAGTTTGGCTAGGAATTTTATTTTATCTATGGTGCGTTTTATTTTTAGACTTTACTTTATTTTGATATATATTGTTGTTTGATTAGCATTTGATTGAATCGTACTTTTGATATTATTTCTATATAATAAATTGGAATAGGCAATTTCAAAGTCTTGCTTTCCTATGTCAATTAAACATTTTTTTTATCGGTAGCAAAATGTTACAAAAACAGCGATTGAAATCTTTGATAATAATCCCTTTTGTTTCTCTCTATTCATGCAATTAGATGATAAGACTTCTGTACGTGTAGCGACTATTGCAAGTAATAATTTTTCTAAACAGTGTAAATCAGGTATCACTCTTAGGAATTGAGGGTTTATTCGCAATTTCGCAAACGCAATCCTAATAGGAACTACAAAGGATAACTTGATTTGATTAGTAAAAAAGAGCAATTAAAATTGAAAAATAGCAGTATAGTTTTTTTTAGTTTTTTTTTTTATTTAGCAAATTGACAAACAAGATCGCATTAAAATAAAAATAAATTAAATGAGAACTTTGAGATTATATTTTACTCTATTTCACCCAAAATTTCATATATGGGTTTTAAATGATCAATTCCACTTCTTGGTTTGTCGATTTACTGGATTTTCTAATTTATTTAAATACTAGTTTCTTAGGCAATTGAACTCAACTCCCAATTAACAACCTGATAGTTTGGGTGGAATTAAAAAGGAACGAATATTTAGATTAAAAATATCTACGATAGAGATAAGTAGCATCCAATGACTATTTCTATCTTAATAGTCTATGTCTCGTATATAAGGTAAATTCTCATCTATAAAATGAATTTAAAAATATTCTAAAAGAGGTTAAGCCTTAAGAAGCATTAAATTTATAATATAAAACCACAAAGAAAAATAAATTTATTTTTTCATTGACATTCCTTTTTTGGGTAAATGTCCAAACAATTTATTAATTTGGCACGGTCAACAGAAAACACTAAACTAACGTTTTTATGTCCATATGGAATATCTTAATGTTGTTAACGTTTTACAAAAGCGTAGTAACGATTTCAAGACTTTTATTTGTAACTCTCAAGTTGACTATTTATAAAATCTCATGGTCACACTTGTTTTAAAATAAATCAAACATTGTAAATTGAACAGATTGTAACCGATCTTAAAAGTCACACTTTTAAGACACTTTTAAAATCGGTTGTATCATAACCGATCTTAAAAGTCTTGACTTTTAAAATCGGTTATGGCATAACCGATCTTAAAAGTCTACTTTTAAAATCGGTTATGGCATAACCGATCTTAAAAGTCTACTTTTAAAATCGGTTATGGCATAACCGATCTTAAAAGTCTTGACTTTTAAGATCGGTTATGCCATAACCGATTTTAAAAGCCTTTTTTCCACTAGTGTTTGTACACACTATATATAAACAATAAACATTTTTTTCATTATCCAATAAACGAGCATGATATTTATTGGATCAATGCACGTGATTTTATTTTTACACCCTAAAAAGTATGAATCTCATTGGAATGGAATCTTTTCTTAGCCATTTATCGATCATTATTAGCAAGATCTATTTAATTGGTATCCGAAAATCAAAGATATGGGGATTCTCACCATTGGACTATGCGTGTGGATATTATTCCATAAGACAAGTTGACTAAACATATTTGAGTGGGCCTGAACTATTGCTACTGTCATTTTGAGTCCAAATTTTGATTTATTTGGGCTTTCTTCAGCCAAAACATTTCTTGTTTTTTGTTATTTTTTTTTATTGAGTTCATGACTGTGTATTATGATTTTGTTTTTGAGTGAAACAAGATTACATTAAGCCTAGCATATGTTGTCTCCGTCTTTAACTTTTGAGGTGAATCAGATGCTCCCTCTTAAAGCCTTTCTATGATAATTGCTAGTTTCTTCTTATCTCTTGGAACAAAAAGCTTTAATAATATCTTAGTTTAAGATAGGAAAAAACTAAGCTTAGAAAGCACTTATATAAAATATATGTTTATCTCATTCCAAAGAAATTAATGCACTTGAACGAATAGGGAGCAGTGTTTGGAGTGATGGAAAAAACAAAAGCCACATACTAATATTTACGGATAGACGAGGTAGGAGCGCATATGTATCCATTTCCATCTATATAAGCTAAGTAATATTACTTATGATGTATCCATTCTCTTCGGTATAAGTTGAGTAATATTAATTAACCCAATAATTTATCTTTTCCATCAAATTAATTTTTTTTAATTAACATGATTTTCAAATATTTTGGATTTATATAATGAAGTATGATATAATTTTCGAATTTTAAAAAATTTGTAAGCTTAATGTATATATTAAAACCTTTTAATTTAACATTTAATGTAGAACATGAATTATTGAATGAAGTAAGTCTACTAAGATTGACTCTTGAAGTAAGTGAATTTCTTTTTCCATATATATGTGTGTGTATGTATTTGTCAATTTTTTTTAAAAATTTTGTAGACTTGATTTATATATATTAGGAATTTTTAATTTAATGGTTGAATTGCTTTGATGTAAAACATGAGTTATTGAATGAAATAAATCTCTTAGAATAAGTAGATCTCTCACACATATGTACGTGCTCACAGAGAAAGATAAGTAAATAACCTTAAATCACCTAATTTATATCTCTAATATTTTAGTTTTATGAATTGATACTTTCATTTGAACCTATCATATTGATGTATTTTAAGGTATTACTTACAAATCACCTAATTTTTATTATTTCAATATTTTAATAAAATTAACATTATTATCTTTAATATTTCAATAGAATTAACATTAAATATAAATTTAAAACTATTTTTAATACCTATTTTTTAATTTCTTAAAAAATAATAAATATTCATTAATATATATGGGTATTTATAAAATTTATTAATATTCATTTAACGAATACTCACATAAATATAAAATAAATATAAGACAAATTTTTATCTAAGGAGCCAACTACTCTCATGGAATTCATTCTCATCCTAATTGGTACTCCATTCTCATTCCTAATTGTTAGATTGTTCATCACATGCAGACTTAGGATTTTTATTTTTAAATCCAGTTCTTATTTGAACAAAAAATATTATGTTAACACTTAAAACAGATTATTTGATGCAAATTATTAAAAAAATTAAATAAATAAATACAACACAAGCACTGAGTGATTGGGATACGTCAAATTTTTCTTGTGAACAGAATAACATCTGTACTACAGCTTCTTTTCGATCTGTGCATTATTAATTTGCATTAATAAAAAATAACTAAAGGATTTGTATTATATGTAATTACTTTCGTAATGTTTCCATTTCCAAAAGAACTACCGTAGTTTCTAATTGTTGAACTGCAGGATACTTTAAATGCACACAATATATATATAT